AAAAAATTTTTTTAATTTTAAAAACAAAAAAAAAGGAAAAAAGGAAAGAAAGGAAAAAAAAATGTTATTTGTGCCAGTAAAAAAGAAAACAATTTTTCTCAAGAAAAAAAACTTTAACCGGAAGTTGTAATTACCAAATCTGACCGACTTCGTGATATTTATAAATGAAATTTTCCTTTAAAACTTCACATACAAGTTTTTTTTTCTCTTTTCTTTTTTTTTTTTTTATATATAGATTTGAAAACGTTTGCCAAAAAAAAAAGAAAAATCTTTTGTTTTTTTCCTCTCTCTCTCTCACTCAACTTAAGATAAATTGTGAGAGAAATTAAAGGATAAAAAAATAAAAAAAAATCATTAAAAATTAAAGTAAACGGAAATGATGTGAAAAAAAAGAAGATGAATACGGGAAGGGAAGGGAAAACGCGTTCAAAAGGGGGGGAGGGAAAAAGGGAAAATTGTCGCACGTTTGAAAAAAAAATTTTTTTTTATTTATATTTTTTCATTCATAATAGGATGTTTGCCCTAATTTTAATTAACGATTTTTTTTTTCATTCGTATCTTTCCCCCTCCCCCTACCTCTCTCTCTCTCTCTCTCACACACACGCACAAAAAAGAAAAAAAAAGTAATGAAGTAAAAAAAAAAAAAAAAAAAAAATTCTGTTGATTTGACAACAATTTTCTTTCTTTCTTTCTTTCTTTCTTTCTTTCTTACTTTCATTTTTCTTTTTTTCTTTATTTTTCTCGCCATTTTAACTTTTTTTGTTGGAGTCAACACACTCGGATGATTTCAAATGATATCTTTTTCTCTTTTTATTATTATTATCTGTCTATTGTATATAAAAGCACTGATATAATTTCAACATTTTTTTTTTTTTTCCAAATTTAACTTTTTGTTTTTCATTTTCATTCGTGAATGACGTAACGTATAATTGAAATGAAAATGAAAAAATCATTTAACGGTTTTTTTACTGTGACGTCATCACACACTACTGAAAAAAAATTTTTTTTTTACCCGAAACTCAAGTAAAAGTCAAAAAAAATGTTTTTATTTTTTGTTTTGTTTTTACGACAATGTCGTCATCATCGCCATCATCGTCATCGTCATCGTCATCGTAATCGTAGTCTGTAAACTTAAATCCATAGAGTGTTTAAACCTTTTAATTATATGTAATTAAAATAAAACCATAGAAACTAATTTAAGGGAAAAATGGTTGTTGAATGAGTTAAGAGTTATCAAATGAAAGGAGGAGGAGTTGGAGGGAGGGTTGGAAATGAAATAATAAAAGGGTGGGGGGTTATGTACTGTACACGCACATGCACACACACACACAAACATAAAATTTTCTCCAGTGAATTGAATTCGTTAAATAATTAAAAATGTCTTGGGAAGAAAAAAAAAAAAAGGAAAAAACCTTTCAAAATGAAAAAGAGTCCGATTCTATTTTTTTTATTCCTTTTTCCCTCCTCCTCCTCCTCCACCTGCCCCTGCTCCTTCGTTTTTCTTGTTTCTCTTAAATTGTAAATCTAATAAAAAATTTATTTGAAATTTTTTTTTTTTAATAACGAAAAGAAAAGAAAAAAAAGAACCGACAAGGAAAATTTTGCGAAAAAAAAAAAAAATTTATATTTTTATTTACGTTTAGCTTATCGGAAAATTTATAAACAGACGAATCGAATTTTCTCCAGGGGATTTACCCATTTTTAAAAAACGTTTGAATCCCCCACTACCACCACCACCACCACCAACGCCAACGCCATCATCATCATCACCATCACGAAAAAAAAGAAGGTCATCAACAACATTTAAAATTTCTCAACCCTCCCACCCACACCTCTACCCCCACTCACACTCCTTTGTAAAAAAAAAAAAATAAAAAAATAAAATTTTTTTCTTCTCTTTCTTTTTCTTTCTCCCCTTTCTTTCACCTAACTCCCTCCCCTTCCCCCGTGGAAAGAAAAAAAAATAAATTTTACCCTTAATTAAAAAAAAAAAAAAAAAAAAAAAAAAAGAAAAATTCTCTAAGGGTAAAAATTTAAATTTAAAAAAAAAAAAAGATGGTTTTTAATAAATTCGATTCATCTTGTGTATATTATTTTTCCAGTTTTTTTTCTCTTTCTCCAGGATCGATATATTTTTGTCCTGAGAAGCGTAAGAGAAAAACGATTTCCCTTAAACACACATAAAAAAAAACGTGTCAGAAGCCATATCGATATAATGAAAAGTTTCCTTTTTTCTTTCTTTCTTTTATGCATGAAATTTAAACTGGAAAAAATGTTTTATAATTTTTTACACGATTTTATTTATTCCTCCAGCGACAGAATTCGATGGAAAATACACAATGATAATAATAATAATAATAATATTTACATGTAAATACACACGTACAGGTATATAAGAGTCACGTGTTATTATGTCTTTTTTTTTAATTAATAAATTTTTTTTTTTTTTACTGTAGGATTATGACATTTTGTATTTTTACCTTTTTTATTTCGTGGAAGAGAGAGAGAGAGAGAAAAATGGAGATGAAAAAAAAACCCAATACGCGCATTCACCTACTCACGACACACAAAGAGCTTAGTTTTCACGATGATGATGATGATGATGATGATATTCAAATAATTAGAGATTCCAGTTTGTCTCTCTTTCTCTTTTTCTCTATGTGGATATACACGTCCTATTTACTTTCTCTCTCTCTCTCTCTTTTTCTCTTTTTATTTAAACGAATTGAAAAGTGCTTAAATTAAAAAAGTAATAATAATGATAATGATGAAACAAAACAATGACGTCGTTGAATAAAAAAAAAAAACCATTATAAAAAATTCCGTTTGTTTGTTTTTTATTTTTTTTTAAATTAAGGACACTTTTGGGTTAATACTCCCCCGCCCCTGCCTTTCCTTTCTTCCCCTTCTTCCCTCTCTCCCATTTTTTTTAATTGTTTAAATTAACACATCAATTTTATTTAAAAAAAAAATAAATAAATAAATTATGCGTGGGGAAAAAAAAATAAAAAGGCGGGAAATTTTTTTTTTTTATATTTGATAAATTGCCAAAAAAATTTTTTTTTTGAAAAATGGCGGGAAATTTTTATTTTTCATAAAATGTTTCAAATTGATATAAAATTCGAAAAAATCGATTTTTAATTGTTTGTTTGTTTGTTATGATTTTTCAGGGGTTCGTTGAAAAGATTTTAAACGCTTTCATCATTATTATGATCATCATTTGTTTTTTTTTTTGAAATCGTAAATTTTCGACTAGAATTTTAAATTTAAAACTTTTCTTTTTTTTTCTTCTGCTTTTTTTTTTTGCGGGGGATTCGAAATAACTCAGGTGCGAATAAGTTTTTAAAAACAAGAAACAAAAACGATGTTGAAAACAAAATGTAAAAACATTAAAATGTTTTTTAATTTTTTCAAATATTTTTAGTTTTGTTTAACAAAAAAAAAAAAAAAAAAAACAAATAAATAATAAAGAAAGAAACTCTTTCCATCTTTCTCTCTCTCTTTCTCTCTTTCTCTCTCTTTCTTTTATACACTCCATTAATCTTTCCGTGTAACGTTAATCTTTTTAAATGTGCAATACTCATTTAACATGAATTTTTTAAAAATAGGTAAACTATCAGTTAGTTTAAAAACGTTTTTATTAAACAAAATGGCGGTTATTAATCATTTTTTTTTCATTCACGTTTCCATCCTATTTTTTTTTTTTTCGTTGAGGCAGTATTATTATTATTAACTAAAAAATTTTTTAAAGGTTTTACGAATTCGTTTTTCAAAAAAAAAAAATTTTTTTTATTATCATTATTATTATTTAAATAATTTTCAAAAAGGTTCGTTTGTTCGAGTGAAAAAATTTTTTTTTTTTTTTTTTTGTTCTTCTTTCTCTTGAGTTTTTTAAAGTGTACTTTAAGGGAAATTTGTAATAATGCTTTTTTTACTTTCTCTTGGAAAGAAAAAAAGCTTAAAAAGCTTTCCAGAAGGAAAAAAAAAGATAAATTTCCTACAGGAGAGGAAGAAGAAGAAGAAGAAACGATAGAAGACAAAAAAAGTTAACACAATGACAAAAAGGCGCCTTTTCGACCGGAATTTTCAAATTATTTTTTTTATTTTTTTTCGTGGAAGAAGAAAAATATGAGTGTGTGTGTGTGTGTGTGCGTGTACGCGTGCGTGAGTGTGTCGAAAGATAATGTTTAAAATTTTTTTATTTTTTTTTTGTTTTATTCCGGAGTTTTATGAAGAAACGGAAAGAAAATGAAAAAAAAAAAAAAAAACAATATTTTTTTTCCCGAATGAAACACACCGGAAATGACGTTATAAAAAAGGGCTCCGTTTTTACAACGCGCCTTTTTTTTTCAATTTAAAAAACCGTTAAATATATCGTAACGTGAATTTAAAAAAGGAAATAAATACAAAAATTGTAAGAAGAAAAATAAAAATTGAATAATTCAAAAAAATGGAATCGATTGAAAATGTTAATAAGTTCAACATCAAAAGGAAAAAAAAAATTCAAATTTAATTGCGCGGGAATAGTATAAATGAAAAAGTAGTAATAATGATGATGATGATGTAGAGATGATATCGATCGGGAGGCGGAGGGGAGAATGAAAAAAAAATCAATGAATGTGCAAAAAAGTTTCTTATTTTTTTTTTTTTTTTTTATTTCTATTTACGACGATGC